CGTGATGACGTATGGTACCGAAACGTGGTCCCTGACCTCTGACCTTCTCGAGAAGCTCACAGTTTCTGACGGCAAATGGGCCAGGAAACTCCTTGAGTGGAGACCACGGACCGGGAGACGAAGCGTGGGCAGGCCTCCCGCTAGGTGCACCGACGACATCGCCAGAGTTGCGGGGAGCCAGTGGATGCAAGTGGCAAGTTGTCGTTCGACGTGGAGGACTAAGGGGGAGGCCTTTGTCCAGTAGTGGACGTCTTTCGACTGCTGATGATGATGATGTAAGTAAGTACTTAGATAACTGTTTAAGCTACACATAATCTTTTTGAGGTTTTGAAAGTTCAATTCAAACATAATTATTTAATTTTATTAACTTTTCGTGTGCCTAAACGCGGATCCATGCGAGACACAATGTATTTTCTTTTATGTCTCATATCGGGGCATTCAAGCGGTTACGTTACATGACTGGCAAAAATGGATTTTTATAAAAGAGTAGTTTTTAACTTAACTTTTAGCCTATATTAACTAAAAATCACGGGTTACTCGCGTGAATATACTGAGAAAAGTACCACTCTACTAGTTTCGAACCACAGAAGGGTTCTTCCTCGTGAGCAGCGTGCGGGGTCGCAGCAATGTCGCACAGCCTACTGTTATTTCATGAGGAAGAACCCCTCTGTGGTTCAAAACCAGTAGAGCTTTTCTCAGTACATTCAAGTGTGTAACCCGCGATTTTTATTAAATTTACTATGTCTCACGATAGTTATTAAGTTTTAGCCGTTTTTTACTTTAATAAATTTAATGCATTCAATAATGTAAATAGCTCTATACGTTTAATGAAATCTTAACACCTTCATCCTAATATATTTCAGCCACAATGTTTAATTAAAAACTATAAAATTAACCATTCTAACGTTATCACGAATTAATGAAGTAATCCTTTCAATTACCAATGTTTTGTTCGCGCTGAAATATTCAGCCGTGTAATCAGACGCGCTACGTATTAAATTTTCAGCGTTTCACCTCCGTTTTCATGCTGAGAGTAATAGAACATTGTGGTGTGGTGTGACGTCACGTACTAGTTTGGCAGTATTGTTTTGCTTACCATTCTATACCATTTAGATGCATGTATGTACATTGTACATATGTATATAGAGTCAGTTTTGCAAAGTCCTGTCACGACATCTACAGTTATCATCAAGCATTAATGACAACCCTCTACTGTACTATGGATCTTATCTACATAAGAAGTAGTTTTTTGTAATCTCCATGCTCTCCAGGCGAGTTTAAAAGGTTCAGATTTATCAATAAGCGCTCTTGATCCCTGTCAAATATTCAAATTCCGTTCTGATATCGTTAAAATTTCAATTGTAACAGTTAAATCGAAACCTCAAATCAATTAAAGGGAAGCGCCAATTTTTTAAATTAAAAATTACGAACGAAGTTAGGGTGAACAATGGGACTTTTCGACAAAAAATATTACCTATTAAAATTCAAACAACGACGAATCGAAATCAATGGAAACGAGTGAATTAAGGAATGTTTAAAATGCCAATGGGAACGTGAATTCCCATCGAATTAATATTAAACCATTAAATAGCCAGCAATATAATTATCTAAAGATGATTAAGCGTAAGGATGCGTCCACTACGAACTTTTTTCGCAATAAGCGAAATAAATAGCTACATAACATTTCTCTGCAGTGGAAAAAAATTAAATATATTATAGATATACCTTAATAGTAATAATTTGTTCATACCAGTACCTAGTACACTCTCTCTCTAGTATATCTCACCCCCTATTACATGGGACTCATAACATAAATAGGGAAAAATGGGTGTTACATTGTACAGTGGCATTGTGCCGTAATGTACACCTCTGCCTACCCCTTCGGAGATAAAATGCGTGATGTTATGTTATGTTATGCAGTACCTAGTACACATAAATTGTACACTTTTTTCTTTAGCCACTTGGATGGCAAATAAGTTTAGCTTGTAGATATAATTATCATAGTCAAATGTCTTCAATAGTATATATAACATGGCTCAACATTTTGTCACCCCTGACTTGGTGACGAGAAACACCAATGTCGCTGTATTTGTAAAATATATAGTACCTACTTAACGAAATCACGTGGCTAGGTAACCAAGACACTTACACAAGAGAAGTTTATCCAAGATTATATACACACTTCACTTCAAAGGGTACATGTCCATAATTATGAATTCCCGGACTAAAATTCTCGGGATTTACAAATTCCCGGTCTCGGTATTGTTTGCTTTGGCCGGGATTGCGCGGACCCTTGTCAGCGTGTCTTGACGTCCCTGGCTAAGATTAGGGCCGGTTCACAATAGTTTGATGAACAGTTATTGTGTTAATTTCAAGTGTTAAGTTCTGATACCCGGTCAGACAGTGTATTTTCACCACATTTCTGTTATGACGGGTTCATCAAATATTCATTTGTGTTTCCAGATTAAGTTTCGAGTTGCAATTCTTCAAAGTTTTGCACATAAATTGATTCATGGAGTTTGATGTGTTATTGGTGTCTTGTCGAACATTACAAATAAAAAAATGGATGTATTTAAAAATACTTATGGTGGCCACGTGTTTTCTTTGTTGTGAAAAGTTAATGAATAAATGAATAAATTTAATAAACCTGGAAGAAATTTGTGGGCACCACGCCATTGTATTGCATAAATGTTGTCTAGTATCATTTCTGTGTTTAGTTTCCTTATTTTAGTTCTTACAATAAACAAATACTACTTTAAGAAATAAATAATCAAATAATTTCATTTGTTTTCAATTGATTTATGCATCTGTCGGCGCATTAGTATGGCCATCGACCATAGAGGCGGCGACGCGCGGGACGAGGGTATAAAAACCCACGGCCGCGCGAGCGCCGCGCTTCTTCTTCATCGACACACGCCAGCCATAGCATTCGAGCATTTCTTTGTATCGGTGTGAGCCAGTCTTGATTCTGATATGAAGAAATTAAACCTATTAATTATGCAGTCTTCTGTTTTAATTTGAAATAACCCGACAGAGCTACGACACATCAATTGTCTATGTTGCAGAAGTATTATAATTTGTTTATATTACAGTAGACTTTACTTACAGTGAAAATAGAGTTATTTTTAAACAAAATCCTCATTGATTGTCTTCAAAATTTTATGCAATCGGTAAGTGTACGCCGTCTTAAAATTTAAACATCAAAATTAATATGATTTATACAAAATTCTTGAAAAGCGTTCAGGTTTACCGTGGGCTTCTTAACACAGGATTAACGATCCAAAATGTTCGAGAATCGTTCTGAATTCTTTAATTTATGCATTTTTGCGCTCATCCTAAGAAAGTTTTATGATAATGACTGTGATTATCCTTCAAGCTAGAATGCTTAAGTGTCCGTTTGAAGCCTGGATATTGACCCGTAATAATATCGAAGTCTTGCTGAGTTTTAAGTGGGTATTTGAGTGGTCCCCACTCATAAACTGTACGCATACTCTATGCACATAATAACGGTATTAAACAGTTATTTTAAGTGGTTTTTCCTGATAGTATAATGGCCATATTAACCCTATATAAGGAAGTATGGTGTGTGGAATTAAATCAAACTTTGCATATTACATTTCATTTTATTTTTTTAGATTTTGATTTTAGTTTTAGATCTTAAAGTAGATTAGTTCTTGAACTAACTACTATGTATGTACTATGTACTAAAAACTAAGTATGTGCTATTATTTCGTCAAAAATTGTAGATTTAGTTATGTAGATGCATTATGGATTTTTTTCTTTAAACGTTGCCCCACACTAGGATTTTCTCCTGTGTCGTGGGTGCGTTTACAAACATACAAGTTCACATACACATGACACCCAGACCCGGAACAACAATTTGTGCAATTTTGCAGAAGAACAATTATACAGACAGGAATTCGTTTTCAATGCTTATTTTGCGGCGTACAGTGAAGTTAGAGATGAATTTTGACGTACCTACAATATGGAATGGTTATAAAAAGTGATTGAGAATTATTGAGAGGAATGTTTCAATATAGAACATTGGAATCCAAACCATAGGACCTTTCAAAGGCATCAATTCTTGTCAAAAAACAGTCACAATATCAATATAACAATTAAGTATAATGCTCCTTTCGATTAAACTTTATTACACACTAAAAACTATAAGAACCCAAGGTACGAATACAAATACACGGAGCCACAAGGTAACAAAATTCTAGCGACAAATCTAAAGATTTACGATGTGACAACTGTCAGGATAAGTTTAATTCTGGTAGTGCAGTACACCATTTAACATGGCCCTAACTTGATAGTCTCGTAATTTTGGGTACCACTATTATCATAGCACTCGATACTAGTAAAGGAACTTACTTAAATATGTGCGTCTCTGTCTAACGCATGTACAGAATGACAGTGTAAAGGTGACAGAATATTTTGTTATATAAACACTCGCTAAATTATTATTTGTACGTATTGTGTTATCTGTTTTGGTGTTTAAGTAGTCGAGGCACTGTTGTTTATAAAAAAATCGTTGGTCGCATTGATCGTTCAACTCCTGGCATCAGTCATGCAGTTATTCAGAGCAGTTAAAACAGTCAAAGAAATTTATTGATCCACACAAATACCTTTTTTTTTTTTTTTGTTGACGGGGGGAAACCTTCCAAAGGCGCCTAGCTTTTTGGGGAAAAAAGACTAGGGAGTGTGGGATTTTTACCTCACTAAAACCTCCCCGGTGGCCACCATCCGCACTTGAAGGGGGCACCGGGTCCTCTTAGTAGACCAACTCCGGTGCCCTCATAGTGCAACGCCTGTTACGGCACCTCCCTATGGAGACCTATGTGTCTCTCCTAGAGCCTCTCTGTGCACTGCACGGCGGCACGTGACCACTGTGCCGCCGTCATCCTTGAGGTCATTAGGTGGACGCCTAGATTCCCCACTCTATGCGCCCATGACCCCAAAGGTTTGCCTACCAATATTGTAGGCAGGAAATCAACATATTAGGCGCCGCGGCGGTTATTTCCTCGACGCCTTCGACGTGTGGGATCGGCCCTCTCTCGATCCCGCTCAGCAGCCTCCTTTTGGGACATTACAGTCTCACAAAAGGTGGCAACTTCCCTCCAGTTTTCTGTCTCTGCCAGCATAGCCGTAACTACTGCTGGCAGAGACAGGTCTCGCCCGATCCTGGCAACTAGGACCCGCCGCTCTGAGGCCCACGCTGGGCACTCTTCAAGCGTGTGCTGTGCGGAATCCAAGTTGCTTTCACAATGGTGGCAATTTGTTGTAGCCTCTCGCCCAATCTTGTTCAGGTACTCACCGAAGCAACCATGTCCGGTCAGCACCTGAGTGAGCCTGAAAGAGATGCGCTCCTCTCTCTTCAGCCAGGCTTCGAAGTGCGGCAGAATGGCTTCGACAACGCGCTTGCGTGAGTATTCCGGCTGTTCTAACCGCTCACGCCACCGCTCAAGCGCGTGTCGCCTTTCCCGCCGCCTTAGCCTAACGAACACCGTTTCTGGCATCCTTCCGCCGTTTTGGCGGATTGAACGAATTTGGTCATAGACTTTCGCGTCCATATCCGCCAGGATATCCAACGGCGGAAAACGAGCCAGTAGAGTTGCCGCCTCAAAGGAGACCGTTCGGTATCCTCGTGCGATCCGAATGGCCATTTTCCGCTGCAGACGATTTATTTTCGTTCTGCAACGTCGGACGCCTGACCACACAAATACCTACCACATATTACTTGATCCAAAAATCGATCCCAATATCTCCTGTTGAATAAATGCGATTATGACTCCAGAAAATACTCTACTTTTAACATTGTAGAAGTGATTGGTTTTCATTTAAATAAATGATGGACAATTTTTATTTCTATATGTATTTATTTTATAAACTTAAAAACACAATTTTTGGCGACATGCGATGATGCGTATCCTGCGCGGTTAACTTTCCATGGAAAAACTAGATGGCGCTACTTGGCATATTTTTTAAGGGGGAAATCATCGAATGACTTCTCCCGCCTGGGTGAGGCGGAAGGGAGTGTCAGACTCTTACTGACTAAAAACCACCCCGTTCCTACTCCTGCACTTCGAGCCGGAGCCGCGGTAACCCGTTAGGTTCTCCGCGACATTTGTAATATTTGTATGTTTAGATTCACCTTATTACACCAAATATTTTTGTATTAAAAGACAATCGAGTATCTACAGGTACTACACATATTTTGAATTATTAAACAAGCTTTCGATCACAGAAAAGCTATCGTATCACAACAATGTTATAGAAAATCGCTCGCTATTTCTTAAGTGACAAGAATAAGGGCCAACGCTAACGAATTCAAGCCACGTGGCAATATAGTTAATTGAAACAGCGAGTGAAGCCTGGTGAGCAACAAGTACGTAAATTAAGCCTCACTATAAATGCTTATCTCTTACATCTTCTAATGGAATTGTAACTTATTGTGTCTTGACTGTGATCACAATAATATGAATGAGAATGGAAAATCAAGCGAATTCCCAACAGTCCTCAAATTCCTAATCCTCTAAAAGCTGGTAACGCACTTGTAACGCCTCTGATGGAGTTACATCCGTGGGCGGCGCCAATTGCTGACCATCAGGTTATTCGTCTGTTTGTGTACCGGCTTATCCCATAAATATCCAACGATTCCCTCGAGCAGACGAATCATGGTAAGCAATCAGCGCCATCTATGTTAGAAATGCATTACCATTTTTTGTCTTGCATCACACTAGGAATTTTTTTAGTATCATAAGTGCTTTGACATTCAATTTCACTTATACATCACTTCTAGACACGACACAATTTGTCGATGAAACAATAAGATAGATACACTTTTTTTTATTTCTCTCAATAGACTAGCATTCAGACCTCATATCATAACTATGCAATCAAAACTGGCTTATGATTGGCTTACTCGACACGACCATGGATGCGTTCCTGTGTCTATCACCAGTAATCTAGTGAAACCCTTGATCCGATATTGCTATCACTTAATACGTTCAATTTACGTGCATATAGCCATGCCGGAATTATCCTGCCCCTAAATATAGTGCTTAATTGATTAACAAAGTTGCGGGAGCTCGTTTTGGACGACTCCCATTCTGAGAGTAAGGCTACTATTAGTAACTAGTTTATCCTCCTGCTGAATATCGGGTTTATATCGCAAAGTTAGCTACTTTTACCCGGTATAAAGCGATTAACTCGTCGAGTACCGGTTTTGTAGACACAATTATAGAACAATAGGTTGCGGTCACCGGTGACCGCTTGGTGTTTGACAGTTTAAATAACAATTTTCAGACCAATCAAAACAGTTCTGTTGCATAAGATCTAAAGTACTGCAGTCAAGACATTTCTTTCTCTAATTGTGTAACATACTCAAAACATGTCTCCGTCCCCATATTATCTCCTCTAAATGCGCATGGATACTCATTGACCCCCGTTCAGACCACCATCAAAAGGGCGAGTCTCCATTTCTTTTTCAAATACGTGACTCTTTGCCCACAAAGGCGAAAGGGACACACGAAGCGATATATATTTCCTTCTAAAATACACTTTATGAGCTGAGAATATCCCTTCAACGGTTGCGACCATTCGGACACCTCATTTAAACTGTATTTAATATTTATTCGTCCGTGGGGTTGCCAGTGGAATTGGATTTTTGTCCAAATTAACCTATAAAGCACGGTGTACGAGTGAATCGGGGATTATTGTTTTTTACAGCGTTAATAGAAGATTTGTCGCGTTTGGGAAATGAATTTTATCATCTGGCCATTTTTATTAGCAATTTAGTCGTATTAGTTTTTTAACTAGAATATTTAGAATTGTTGAACTACCAAGAGAAAAGGATAACTTAGAAATTAAATAGAAGTAATTAATCAATTATCTGCATATAAAGATTATTTTATTCGAAGACGTCTAAATCGACAGTTTTACAGCAAATATATTGTAACCGGCGTAGGTATAAACTTCTAATCTTCCTATCCGTTGCTCTAAAAAAACATACATGAGTCGCTAAAAATATATCTTCCTTAATTTATCAACGTGAATATTCTTAGAGCTTTAACCTCAAGAGGTTTCGCAGAATATAATAGGGAGCTACCAATTTTTTGGGCAATTTATCAATGGCTGGCAACAACGGCCGTTCGAACCAATAGAAGCCCTTTACAACCCTTTATATAAAATTTATTGTACGGTCTCCTTAAGGAACTGCTTAGCAGCACCTATAAATAAGAAAAATCAGGGCGCCCCAACATATTATTCTGTTTTGCATGTGCTAAATTGTAATAGAAATATTTGTAACATAATTTGTCGAGACGAAAACGACCCGAACACATATGTGTTACGTTCTTTATTCATTATTATGTGATATTCTTGGAGAAATTGTTACTAACATGTTTTAATGTTTGTGTAAACCGTCGATGCTGGAGAAGAGACTGCACGGTTGGTGCGGCAGCTGGCCTGCTGGCTTCCGCGCAACGTGTTGCGGATTCGATTCCTGCATCCGGGTGCATGCGGGTCCGGGTGTCATGTGTATGTGAACTTGTATGTTTGTAAACGCACCTACGATACTGGAGTAAATCCTAACGTTTTTTTAAAAAAGGGAGTCTAAAGTTTCTGATCAGTAATAAGGAATAGCTACTGAATAAGTCTAGCGGCTCCATATAATTATGTTATTTTTACTTAACTGGGATTTCACATAGTAAAATTAAACTAGCTTATCGAATGTTATCCAAAAAGGTTGAGTTTGAATTTTGTCGGAAGTGGAATTCGAAATGATTGAATTTTCTTTAATAACTTCTAGGCCCCGAAAGAGAGCACGAGAGCCCGAATCACGAGACGCACTATAGAGGTACATATAATAAAATCGTAAAAAAGTCAAAACTGTACATTGTATATTTTTGAAAAAAGAATACTTGAAGCGTGATCTACAATCGATATCTACTGAAGCCAAAAATAAGGTTTTTAGATTTTTTGTCTGTTTGTCTGTATGTATGTCCGGGATGATCTCCAAAAGTACTGCATGGATTTACTTCAAATTTCGCATGAACATTAATAACAGGTCGGGTCAACATATAAGCTACATACTATCACGCTATCATCTACGGGGGAGGAGCTGTGAATCACAATTCCACGCGAACGAAGTCGCGGGCAACAGCTAGTGGTTACATATAATTTCAAAAATCTACATTTCCCTTAAAAGCAACGTAATTTCTGACACAGCAAGCTATCACCAATCTAGCTAATGGCTAAAACCCTAAGAGCGAACTTCAAAATATTAAAATAAATGGTCGCAGCATGAATGGGGTGCTGAATCTTATCGAGTCAGTCCGTAACGGCGACAAACGCGATTGTAAATGCGAGAGTAGAAATTACGAGAACTGTGAACTCGCGATAAAGCTTTCTCTTTTACTTACAATAACCATTTGTAACTGTTTTTCACAGAAATTCTATTTTATAGTCGCAGCTAAACTCTTGAGAAATTTGAGAATATTTTATACTGATACGACTTATCCTGTTTTATTGTAAGCCTCATTTTCACATAAGTACGCATTTAATTTTGTGAGATGAAGGGTCAAAATAGATTCTGCCGAATAATAATTTAAATACATAATATAAATATAATTGTGTTTAATCCGAATACCTACTTCTGCATGCAATTCAAAACAAATAATCATTCGAAGAAATGTGTAATGATAATAGCATGCCTGAATTAAAATAGTACATTGAAGTGTATCCAAGAAATTGATATCGAGTCTTATCCCTGTTCTCGATGCTGTATCACTTATCAAACTTGTATAAGAGACATAACATCACGCCTTTTATCCCCAAAGGGGTAGGCAGAGGTGCACATTATGCCACTGTACAATGTAACACCCATTTTTCACTATTTATGTTATGAGTCCCATGTAATAGGGGGTGAGCCTATTGCCATATACCGGGCACAATTCCAGACTACGTGCTACTACTGAGAATTTTTTTAAAACCCAGTAATTCTTTGCCCAATCTGGGAATCGAATCTGAAACCCCTTGCCCAGCAGTCGCTCTTGCGACCACTCGGCCAATGAGGCAGTTTTTAAAATCATAAAGCTGACCCCCTATGGTGAGCCTATTGCCATATACCAGGCACAATTCCAAACTCCGTAAGAGAAAGTACTGAGATTTTTTTAAAACCCAGTAATACTTTGCCCGACCCGGGTATCGAACCTGAGACCCCATGCCCGGCAGTCACACTTCAGTGGAGAAGTCTAAACCCAAATATGTATATCTGAATTACAACTATGTATTCATAAGCCAGCAAAACCCAAATTGAGCGAGGACGCCACCACGTTCGACCACCATTATAAATTTTACATTGTACATTCATAACTCAATCGATCCCGAACAACAGGCGTGGACCAAGTGCTTTTCCTTGTCGCTTCTTACAAAAAGTAGCTTTCAATAACTTGAATACAATACCCTCTCTTCTATTCAATACTTGCCCACTTTTTTAACAGCTCAATTAATTGGCTGTATTGTTTAAATCTTTTGTTATAGCTTAAGTTCTAATGGTTGGGCGACTATAAAAATTAATCACGATGTATTAATTGATAAAGTTTTAATTGTTGACCGCTCTTATTGTAAGAAATGCGGGACTTATTGCGTGTTGTGATATTTC